CATTATCCTGAATATACTGACCCTTTCACATCATGTATTTAATGTACGCACTGTTTTTTTCCTACCCTTTGTTCACATAAGCCTTATGTAATTTAAAGCAAAGCCTTCTCTTCTGGTAGGATTTTCTCTATTTAACTTACTTTGTAATGGTAATAAACAGTCACCCCAAACTGGTGATTCTGGGGAGGATGACAGCTTAAAATTTAATTGAAAGTTCCACAGATAGGATACTGAGAATCTAATACAAAAATACGAAGTCACCTGCAAAAATGTATATGCATGCTGAATTTTTCAGGGGAGCAAATCCACATTTTCATTCAGATTTTTTCCCCTCCTTAGGACTTCTAGATTAAGAATCACCAGTTTCCTCTGGGGCACCTGGGTGGCTCAGTCAGGTTAAGTGCCCAACTCTTTATTGTGGATTGGGTCATGAGCTTGAGCCCTGCATGGGGCTCCATGCTGGGCAAGGAGCCTGCTTAAGATTCTCTCTCTCCCTCTCCACCCTCCCTCACCCATGCTTATGTTCTCTTAAAAAAAAAAATTCACCAGTTTCTTCAAAAAGTTAAATACAGAATTATCTTACGACCTAGAAATTCCAATTTTAGATACATGCCCAAGAAAACTGAAAACATGCTAACACATAATTGTGCATATGAATATTCACAGCAACATTATAGCCAAAAAGTGCAAACAACTCAAATGCCATCAACTGATAAATGGATAAACAAATGTGGTATTACTATACCATGGGAGAGCACTAGGCCATAAGAAGGAATGAAGTATTGATACATGCTAAAACACAGATGAACCTTGAAAAGTGTTATGCAGGGGCGCCTGGGTGGCTCAGTCATCAAGCGTCTGCCTTCGGCTCAGGTCATGATCCCAGGGTCCTGGGACTGAGCCCCACAACGGGCTTCCTGCTTCGTGGGGAGCCTGCTTCTCCCTCTCCCACTCCCACTGCTTGTGTTCCCTCCTCACTGTGTCTCCTTCTGTTGGAAGGAAGGAAGGGAGAAAAGGAGGAAGGAAATATTATGCAACGTGAAAGAAGCCAGACACAATAAGCCCCATATCATATGATTCCATTTATGTGGAACATCCAGAGTAGGCAAATATCCACAGAGACAGAGTAGATGAGTGACTGCCAGAGGCTGGGGAGAGGGTCTAATTGAGAGTGGTTTAATTTCAGTGTGATGAAAATGCTCTGGATTTAGAGTGCTAATGGTGGTATAGTGGTATAGTGGTATAGTGGTAATGGCTGCACAATTTTGTGAACATACTAAAAACCAATGAATTGTATATGTTAAAAGGGTGAATTTATGGAAAGTGAATACTAAATCTAAAAAACCCTCCTCTTACCCAGCTGCATGCTCGATATCTTTTGCATCATATTTCCCTACCTAAACTTTACACATTCACATATTACTCTGAACCACCTCCTTTTCTTTAGGTTCCTAATTTACATGTAGTTTCTCAGGCTGGAAAATTCCAGAGTTCTTTCTAATTTTTTTTCTCTCAGTTTCAATATCCATCAGTCACCAATGCCAGGCCTTTGTATTAATAATAAAAATGGTTGCCACTAATGAACATGTAATTCCTGCCAGACACTACACTAGATGATCCACAATTATCTTTAACTCTCACAATCATCATACATTTTACAGAGGACAAAAAGCGAGGCTTAAAGGGTTCCTGTTCTTTAGTCTTTCTCCCTCCCATCTATCCTCTACCCTTCAGGCAGTGATCCTCCTAAAATAAATCTGATCATATTACTCTCTTACCTAAAGCTCTTTAAAGACCTCCTACTGTCATAAACTCCAGACTCCTTTGCTTGGTATAAAGTGCCCTTCACTATCCCACTTCCCTCACCACTTCTAATGCCAGCTTCTTTTGGTCCCTGGACCATGCCATGCTCTTTCTCCTCCTGCCTTTGAATTGGCAGAATTCCCTTATTCATTCACTCAACAAATATGTATTAAGTGTCCACTTTGTGTCTGGGCATTGTACTTGCTGCTTGAGCACATGTGGTGAACAAAACAGATATAGGTCCTGCCCTCACAGTACTTAAGTTCAAGTGAAGGAAACAAAAATTAACAAGTAATTTCAGACTTTGCAGTAAGTGCAATGAAGGAAGCAGGAATATCCCTGGTAAGGAGTCAGGGGAAAACTAAAATGAGTTTTAGTTGTTGGTCTGGTAAGAACTCAAGTGATGACATACTGTGAAAGCTGAAGATTAAGAAACCAAGTACGTGAAAAATAGACAAGAGGAGAGGGAAGTGAGTGACAACAGATGCTCCTGGGGATATCAGCAGAGCCCAGACCAAGGATTTCTATAGGCCATGGTTAAGAGTTTGGATTTTATACTAAGTGCAATGGAATTCACTGAAGCATTTTAAGTAAGGGAGTGTCAATTTTGAGGAATGGAGAAGGGATTGGAGGGCCACAAGATACAAACAGGATCGCATGGCCTAAAGATATAGCAGTGGTTTAGCTGAGAAATGTGGATGATTTGGACAAGGGCCTGATAGTTAAGGAGGGAAAAAGTAGACAAATGAGATGCAGAATTGAGCTGACTTGCAAGTCATCCACTGAAAGTGAGAAAGAGATGAAGAGAGGATATACAGAGTTTAGGGAACTGTCATTGGAGGAAGTAAGCTTACCAAGGAAACAGCAGCAGAGGATCTCAGGCCCATGCTGACTGAATATTCAAGAGGTTGATCATTTTCATTTTATACTGTCATCAATTTGCCCAGGACGTTTTCCAGCAAAATTCAGCCATATAAGTGCAGGTGCAAAGGGGACAAAAGGTTGGGTCCATCAAGAGTATGAGTTCTGCCAGAAGAATAAAAGGCAGGGAAGGACAAGGAAATGGTGCATCTTCAAGGGAGAGACCATAAAATAGAACATGCATTATAAACTGGATAAGGGGGTACAGATGGACAGAAAATGTAAGACTCCACGGATGGGAGGTATAGATGAAGTTCAAGAATTGTATCCTTGGGGTTCATAAGGGAGTTTATGTGGTCAGACACAACCAAGTTATAATTGTTTCTTCAACTGGGATTGGTCATTTCCTGCTCTAGACAAACATGACTATTTGATCTCCAACCACAGCCATCCTGTTTTTCTGCTCCTTGTCTTCCCATAACCTCCCAGCACTATCATCTAAGTTCCTTATGAACTCATTCAGTCTTAAAGGCTCACCTCCAACTACTCCTTCCTTGAAGCATTTATGTTTTCCCCAGGGGGATCTCTCCTCCTGGTGACAGCCCTCACCCAACCTGTACTGCTGGTATTATTCATGCTACCAGGTATTAACCATTCTTTTCCTTTCTAGGCCCCTTTGCTCAACTGGGAAAAGACATTATTATAAACACTCAAAAGTCTCTAGATCTCTGGCAGCAGTACCCAGAACTGTGCCAAACCCGGAGCAATCACTCAATAAATGCTGAGGTCTCTGGTATCTGGGCCACCCAATCTCACTGGTGACCTAAGGCAGGATTCCACCAAAATCTAACAAAAGCTCATAATCTCCGTTCATAAAAGCCCCAGATACTTCCATTTACCTCAAGAGTGGGCTCCACCTTCACAAATTTAATTTTAACCCATTCAAACCACCCTCTTGCGTTAATCAGCCCCGGTAGGATGGGAGGATACAGGGCCTGAACGATGACTGGAAACCTGGATGCCCCAATTTGAGAAAAGCCACGTTCACTAAAAAATAACAATTTTCTTCAGAGTTTAATGCAGTGCAGGAAAGACGTGAAATAAGAGCTAGACCAAATGGCCTCAGGAGAGTTGCCAGGAATGAACTGGCACAGGGTTGTACTCATGGTCTGACTTCAGCCTGGCGCCTACCTTTCACCTCTCCAGCTCCAGCCGCAGGGGCCGTTTCAGTGGTCGCCCCCGGGGTGGCTGCCATGGCTAGCTCCGCCCCAACCCAAAAGGGGAGTGGAGTGGGAGTGGGTTCAGAGGACCGCCAAAATCCCGACTTTGGAGTCGCAGGGTAGGAAGCAGCCGCGGTAGCAACTCCGGGTCTCCCCCGGAAGCACCACGCACCGTCGGTCACGTGACAGGCGCCGGGCGGGGCCACGCAGGTTTGTTTTGATTCCCCGGTTGTTGAAATGTCAGCACGTGGTCTCGGCTGTAGCGCTTTGCATCTTCCCCAGACTTTAACCTTCTTTCATCGTAGTCTTTTCTAGGATTAGTTTCTGCTCCCCGTCTTTTTGCAGGCAGGTCGTTCCTCTCTGCCTTGCCACTTTCCTACACCCAACAATATTGGAGTTTTAGGGGATGGTTTGCATAATGTGGGGCTAGCGGCTGTGGAATGGGGCTCTGCCTCCGCTAACTCTGCAGCCGCGCTTACAAGGAGAGCTCGGGCTTCTCTTCCACCCTTCTTGCCCTTCTGGCAGCCACCTGACTCCATCTGGTTTTTGTGGCTTCTGGGGAATACGAACTTCAAGCAAACGTCCTTTAACTGTGTTCTCTGTGACTCATTTTCCGACCCACACAGCCAAATCGTTTGACCTATGGTTTCAAGGACAGTAACCGACAGCTGTCAGGCGTCTGGATTTATATAATGAAATAAACAACCGGCTGCCTGATTAAGAGGCCAACAGCCCCCCACCCTTCTCACTTACTTTTCGTCTGGTCAAAATTGTAATGACTGGAGATGGATCTAAGTCGTTAGGGGCAGAAATCTCTTAGCCTTAACGTATTAATATATTAACATATGCCTATTAATGACAGGCAGGGGGTAGAAAGATAGCTATATCTTTTTTTATATACATACGAATGTCATTGACTAGTTTATTATCTCATTGGGTATGTAAGACAAAATGTAGCTCATAAAACTAGGCAGTACTCACTGTCTGTGAAAAATAAATTATTTTTAAGGGTCAAATCCAACAGCTCAATCTTATCCTATCTCCCCCTTTAATTTCTAAAGTTAACAATCCAACAGAAATAATAAATGCAATATAAAAGCAAGCAACAGCTTAAGTGACCAGAGGTATCCGAGTTGTTTATTGGACACGTGATGTAAACTTAGGCACTTCCTCCAGCAATCCCAACCTCCTCTTAGCACAGCCCTTTTGGGAGTTTCCTTTTCCAGGGCTTAGTCGCGCTCCTCCCGCCTTTTTGGTTCTTCTTCGTCCTCCCTCAGAGACTGGGGTCTCCCGCCTCAGTTTCTTCTCCAGTACCCGCGAGGTGGGTGCCCCAGTGCGGTACCCCAGCCTCTTCCCAGCTCGCGGCACCTGCCCCGCCTTCCAGCCCCGGGCCGGCTCGCGCGGCGCAGGCGCACCGGCCGCGGCCCTGAGGCCGAGCGCGACCTCAGCAGCTTCTGCCTCCGCCTCCTGCAACCGTATCCGCGCGGGGCTAGTCGGCGGTCACCGAGACCGCGCTGGGCAGAGGCCCCGCGGGCCGCGCGTCGCCATGGGCGCGGGCTGGAGCAGCGAGGAGGAGCGGCAGCCCCTGCTGGGGCCCGGGCTCGGGCCTGCGCCCGGGGCTGTCTGGAGAAGCCGGGAGGCGGCGGCGGCGGCGCTGCCCGCGGCGGCCCCGGGGCCCGGGCGGGTGTACGGGCGCCGCTGGCTGGTGCTGCTGCTCTTCTCGTTGCTGGGCTTCGCTCAGGGCCTGGTCTGGAACACCTGGGGCCCCATCCAGAACTCGGCGCGCCAGGCCTATGGCTTCTCCAGCTGGGACATCGCGCTGCTCGTGCTGTGGGGACCCATTGGCTTCCTGCCCTGCTTCGCGTTCATGTGGCTCCTGGACAAGAGAGGTGAGGGGCTCCGGGCAGTGCAGGCCAGTGCGGTAACTCCCCCGGCGAGCCAGAGACCGCCAGCCGCCGCCCTCGGTTTCGTCTTAAGGGTTATGTGAGGTGACCGAGTGTTGCTGGTATCCCATTCCAGACCAGGAACCCTCCGTCCCCAAAGCGACAGACATGGGGAGGCTTCTTTGCAGATACTGTATTTATGTTTACATCACTGTTGCCCATTATGCAACAGCAGAGATTAAGTGATCTCTAAATGTTCATGTTTTTGCACGATGTGGACATGAGAGCATTCCCGGGCACGTGCTATTTATGATTTTTACACCCGACCAAAATGACTGATGCTTTGACTTCAGAGGGATTTGGAGGTGTTGAGGGTGAAAGGTCAGAAAATAGACTGATGATGCCCAGATATGAGGAAGTATTGAGTTGGCTTTGCATAATAGATGACTCCAGCCCAGGGCTTTCGGGGAAACTATATCTGAGTGATTTGATTTCTCTAAAATGGTGCATGGCAGCTTTAGAGTGTGTGTTTATGACTAGGTCGTTGTGTCCGTTGAGATTTATGACTCTCAGATAAAGCGTGCCAGGTGAATGAAGACTCTCTGAGGAATAATGTTGGCAGACGTTTCTCCCTTTACCACTTGCCAGTGCGATTCTGTTAGGAGAAAAAAGAGGTCACACAACTAAATGATAAGGCATTGAAGTGTATCACACAGGTATGGGTAAATGATTCATGATCACTGTGATGTAGCTGCTTGAAAAGGAGGACAGTCTGAGGCATAGAAGTACAGCATCAACCAGAAAGAGTTTGATATACTCTAGTGTTTAGTCTGAGCATCAATTTTAAGACCATTGATGAGCTGGAGCACATTAAAAGTTGTGTGACAGGAATAATGACATAAAAATCATAATGTGTAAGATTAAGGGAAACAGGGTGTGTCAACCTTCACAAAAAGACTTGAGGCAGAATATGAAATATGCGAAGGCCGAGTAAAAGAGGAATTAGACTTACTGTGTGTAGTTCTAGAAGGAAGAACTAAATTGAGTGAAGCTACAAAAGGATGTAACTCAAAGCAATAAAGGAAGAACCTTCTAAGAACAAAAAGGTGTCGAGCCGTGGAAGGTATGTCTCGACTGGCATAGAACTTCCAGATAGAGTAAGTACTTTTGCAGAAGATGTGTGCTAGATGCTGAGGAAAGTTTTCTTGTACTGAATGGAAGTTTTCTTTTCTTTTTCTTTTTTTTTTTTTTTGAATTTTTTAAACGTTATTTATTTATTTATTTATTTGAGACAGAGCAAGAGAGAGAGTATGAACAGAGGGAAAGGCAGGGGGAGAGGCAGAGGGAGAGGGAGAAGCAGACTCCGTGCTGGCTCCATCCCAGAAACCAGGTATCATGACCTGAGCCGAAGGCAACTGGTTAACTGTCTGAGCCACCCAGAAGCCCCCAGATTGGAGGTTTTTTGTTTGCTTTTAAGCTGAATTATAGATGGTATTTGGATTTCACCAGTTTTTCCACTAATATCTTCCTCCCACCCCCGTTCCAGGATTCAGTGTAGGGTTCCAAACTGCATTTAGTTATGATTTCTACTTAATCTTCTCCAGTCTGTGACAGTTCCTCTGTCATTCCTTACAAAGTTGGCTAAATTTAGGGGAAAATGTTATTTTGTTCTTTCTTTTTATTTACATTTTTGCCAGGAGCATTTTCCAATATTATTTTCTAAATTTAACCAACCTTGTTTTTATGGTAGAAGAATGTTAATTTTTACCTTTTTTATTATAATTGTATGAACTATCTGGCTAAATTAGGGACTACCTGTTCACTTTATAAAATAAGTTACTTTAGGAGTTCTTCAATAGTTCCTATAGCCACATAGGGAATTCAATTTTATATTCACCATTGGTTGAAGCAAAGGAAAAGAAATTTTAAAATTCTCTTTTAAGAAGTGGTTTTCCTTTTCAGTAGGAGAAAGCTAATATACTTTCATATATTGGCTGTCCTGCTGCAGATGTCCTGTCTGCATACATAGAAAGTAAGTTCCAACATTTTAAAAGATCTTGCTCCCCAGAGGGTAGATAGTTGTCTGGTCTTCCTGCTGTCATGGGTCCCAGCCAGCTTAGCATAGAAGACTGGTTATTTCCCTAAGATGGGTTTTGTGCCCTCTTACCCATTTTCATTTTTCAGCAGAGATTAAAAAAAAAAAAAAGAAGACTAGCTAGTGAGATAATAGGAGAGCCAAGAGCAAGTGAGCCCTAGAAGCCAAGTGAAGAAAGTTTCAGGGAGATAGTACCTAAATGTGTACTAAGTACTGGGAAGATAGATTTCACAGAACCTATATTCTAATGAGGAGATCTAGGCAACAAACAAAATTAAATATTTAGTATGTCAGATGGTGATAAATACTATGGAGGACTATAAAACAAGGCAAGAGAGAAAGAGAGGAGGTCATGATTGAAGAATGGAATGCTTGAAATTGAGATTGTCGTGGATGCAGTCATAGTAAAGACAAGGTCAGACTATGAACAAGAGAACAGACTACTGAGGTATAGAGTAGAGGACATAATCATAGAACAAGAAGTCAGGACTGGGAGGTAGGGATGTTGAACTGATCATCTAGTGGATATCAGGTTTATGAAAAAGTAGTGTCATAGGGTAGAATAACGAGCCACAACATTTGCAAGTGGTGAGGGTGAATACCCTGGAGATAGATGTGTGGTAGTTTCTAGACAGCTGCAGCAAGGACTTTTGAGTATGAGAATTAAATATAATTAGATCGATGGCTGTTCTGGCCATGATGGAATATTGGGAACTGGATTTCAGTGTAATTTTCAACTAAAAACAAAAAATTAAAGTATATGAAAGTATATGAAACAAAGTTTTCAGACATTGGACAACAGGCAGGATAGGTTGGTGATCCCTATGAATGTTTCAGCCGACTACCTGGAGAGAATTTCCAGGTATCAATGTAGAGATGGGAAGCCTAGACTGAGTATTACAGTTTCCCTAGGTTGAGGAGACACTTAAGAATTGCAAGAGACCAACTTAACTAGAATACTTAGGGTGGAATACCAGAGAGGGAAGAAAGCTTTACAGAAAGCTCTGGATCTATACAGAGTTTCTCTTGAGTCTTCAGCCGATAACTGGTCGGCAGATACTTGTGAGCAAAAAAGAACAGGTGGAACAATTCCCAAAGTTCACACAAGGCTTGGAATAGTTCACAATCCCAAGACCAGAAAGGGAGAAACCTCAAAATGTGTAAGAGGTTGGGTTGAATACTCATAGGGGCATTGCCTCAGTAGTAAAGACAAAAGAACCCTGGGCTAAAGAATGCTCTGGTTTCACCTAATAAAGTGTAAAACTATGCCTCAGAAAGATCAAAAGTAACTCAGCTATATCTCACAATATCATTCACAAACGTTTGAAAAAGTGCAAAAAAAAAAAAAAAAACCATCATCCAACGAGGTAAAATTCAGAATTCCTGACATTGAAATAAAAATTTACAAGCATGCAAAGAAGCAGGAAAATACAACTCATAAAGAGGAGAAAAAGCAATGAATACAAACAGATCCCAAAATGACACAAATGATAAGTTAGTAGACAGAAACATGAAAACAACTACTTTAGATATTCTATGTATGTTCAAGAAGATAGATGAAAGCATGAACATGTTAAGGAGAGACACAGGAAACATAAAAAGACCAGCATTAAAAGACCAACATTACGTTTCTATAGATGGAAATGCAATATGACAAAAAAAAAAAAAAAAAGGTGTACTGGACAGGATTTAATAGCAGATCAGACATTGCAGAAGAAGAGATTAGTGAACTTGAAGACAGCAATAAATACTATCCAGAATGGAAGCGAGTGGGGCAAAAAAGATTACAAAGAAACAAACAAAAACTCCACCAGCATCAGTGAGCTGTGGGACTGTTTTAAGTGACCTAATATACATGTAATTAGGAATCTAGAAGAGAAGAGAAAAGGGAAGGGCATAGAGTAAGATGAGGGTGGGTTCCTCAAATTGGAGAAATAATGGCAAAAAAATTCTGTATTTATAAACCCACAACTCTAAGAAATACAAGAATTCTAGCAGAAGAAACATGAGGAAAACTACACTGAAGCACATCATAACCATATTGCTTAAAACCAGAGAAAATCTTAAAAGCACTGAGAAAAGAGACCAAGGGAGCAGAGAGCTACAGTGATCTGGAAATGCTGGGGAAGCAGGGTCATGGGCGGGGGGGGGGGGGGGGGGGGGGAGTTTTGGTGGGATTAAGAAGGTGAAGAGAACTTTTGGAGAAGGGCTTGAGAATGTAGGGATTCCACTGATTCACTGATTGTGAGCCTTCCAGGAGGCACAGTGGCAAGGTTTCAGGAGTTGGGGAAGCTGTAGAGATGAGTTCAGATTAGGGGACATATGAAGCCACATTTGTACAGGGATGACCTGTGAATCTTGGGTCTCCCACGACTGATGTAGATGGGAAAAACAGGCACAATGTTATTGTTTCTGATGGTTTCCAAAGCAGTTTGGGGTGGCAAGGCTGTGGCTTTTGGGGATATGGAGACTAGAGGTCTCCTCACCAAGAACAAATAAGAGCTTGTCTTCTTTCTGATTGATGGAAGAGCCTGAGAACAGTCTTACCAGATGAACTTTATAGCTATAATTAATTTCCTATGCATCCAGTATGGATTTGTGTGTGTGTGTATGTGTCTCTCTCTCTCTCTCTCTGTGTGTGTGTGTGTGTTCCAGTTAACTTTGCATCCTGATTTTTTAGACAAACCTGTTATAGCAATGCCATTCCTGTGCCAAATATGTTCCCAGCAAAAGGAATTATTTCATCCATGGGAAGGAAGCTTCCTGCAGTGTCTGTGCCTTATTCTTTTATTTTTTATTTTATTTTTATTTATTTATTTGACAGAGAGAGATCACAAGTAGGCAGAGAGGCAGGCAGAGAGAGAAGAAGGGAAGCAGGCTCCCTGCTGAGCAGAGAGCCCAATGTGGGGCTCCATCCCAGGACCCCGGGATCATGACCTGAGCCGAAGGCAGAGGCTTAACCCACTGAGCCACCCAGGCGCCCCTGTGTCTCTGCCTTATTTGAATAGAATTTATTTTTATTTTCAATCATGTTTGGTTTTCTGAAATTGTTCTAATACCTTTTATCAGATGGTTTTTTGCATTCACATCCTAATACTGTAATCACTTGGGATCTATTTATTTACATAAAAGTACTAGATGTCTCATAGGCTTATTTTCCTGGAGTCCTCCTACCCCTCCTTCCTAAAGTCAGTTGATTTTATTTTGATTACATGAAATTATAGAGTCCTGCCTTGTTGAGATTCAAATGAGATAAAACATTTTATTTAGAATTGAGCATCATCTGGGGTGGGTTAAGTAATAATTGGCAACAATTAAAAATAAGCAAGAAAGCCACAAGCTGTAACTGTGAGGCTGCTTTAATAATCAGCTTTTCAGAACTTCTTTATTATGAAATGTATATATTTAGCTGTTATATTATCATTTATTTGATAAAAACTATAATTGCATAGAAAAGTGTGCCAGCCTTAAGCAGTAATAATAGAAAACTGGGTTATTTGGACTATATGGTCATAAACAATGCCTCACTGCTTACTTAGTGATTGCTTACCTTAATTATAAACCAAATTCTTAGGAAAAAAATAAATATCATGTAGAGGGTAAAGCCTTATAGTCCCAAATCTATAACCTTTTAATCAGTATCTCATAGGACACCCCATATACCCTTATAAGAATAACATTTTGCGAGTTTAGCATATTTATGACCATGGAGTATACTTTTTATTAATTATACTCTATTTCCCATGGCTATAATGTGGGTTTAAAATTTGCATTCTGTTAGTAGAAGCAGTAAATGAGCAGTATGTATGCATTACTTCTTACTGAGAAGCACAATTTTCTATGATATTCCTTCTGCCAAATTCTATTAATCATATCAAATCATATAAGAATATTATAAAGCTAACTCAGTTCGTATCACAAATTACCCTCAATGTGGCATGTGTGTGCCTGATCCAGATCCCGAGTTTATTTTCCTTGCTATGTTTAATCTGCATAATTATAGTTTTGTTGACTTTCAATTTCCTTGGTTAAGAAACAGAATTCAGCTGAGTGAATTTAAAGTTCTTACTGGCTTTATTCAACGATTCACAAATCGGGCAGGATCTCCTCTAGCATAAAGAAAGGAGTTCCGGGGCGCCTGGGTGGCTCAGTGGGTTAAAGCCTCTGCCTTCGGCTCAGGTCATGATCCCGGGGTCCTGGGATCGAGCCCCACAGGGGGCTCTCTGCTCAGCAGGGAGCCTGCTTCCCTCCCCACGCCCCGCCCCCGCCTGCCTCTGTGCCTGCTTGTCATCTCTGTCAAATAAATAAATAAAATCTTAAAAAAAAAAAAAAAAAGAAAGAAAGAAAGAAAGGAGTTCCAAGGGCTGTACAAAATGAAAGACTTTTACAGGCAGAAGGGACCGGGAACAAGAATGTTATGCTAGCAAAAAGTAGACTGTTGGGGCAAAGTCATTTTCCTTTAGGGGCTTGGAGGGAGTCTATCAAGCAGATCGCCTCACTAGCACTGATTGATTAGAATAGTGTTCCATTTCTGGGAGAACCAAACCTGTAATTAAGTCAAGGCAGTTTGGTGGCATGAGGCTTAGCATGAGCAATTCCATTTTGGGCCTGTTGTCTTATTTTAACACCTTCAAGTAAAAAAGCCCTTTGAAAACCAAAGTGCTTAACTATCTCCCCTCTGTCAAAAAGAGCCCTGGGGAAAAAAGAATAATTTAGATTTAAAAATTTGCATTCAGTCTATTCACTATGAAATGGTTTCAAGGAGGCATTGAATTTGGGAGAAACTGGAAGAAATGTTGCCGCTTTTCCCACATGCTCAGCATGAGCCACCTGTGTGATGTGACTGCCGCAAATAGATGGCATTAGTGTAGTAGTGACAGAGGCGTGGCTTTCCAGCAAGTAGGAATGTATAATCCCATTATATTACTCTGCCATAGCTAGAATATTGTGTCTAATTTTGATTACCTTATTTTAGTATTTTTATATTTTTTACCTTGTTATCCATGTGACCGACCACTGGCACACATTTTTAAAATAATTGATTATATCTGGGACAGAAAGGGAAACGCTACTTGATCCATATTATACAGTCCTAAGCCATGCCTTTTTTTTTTTAACAGTATCATTCTATAAATTGAAAGCCATCTGGTAAGTCAAGAAAAATAAGAAGACCATTGTTGTATTCATAACCAAAGGTTTCTAAAGGACCACCTCATATAACAAGCATTAGCTTGTCCTGATTATTAGATAAAATACAAAATTGGCCAATTGTCATTTTTCAAGAAAATTGAAAGCCATGACCTTTCTACCTTAAACTATCTAGGGGCACTTTAGAGTTTTTGCAGCTTGCATTTGAAAATAGGAAATTTCATATTGGAAGTATTAAACTAAAATACCTAGTCCTTTAAAATTATTTTTTGTATTTTTTACTGTTATATGTGAACAAAACATTGTAGCCATTCATTTTGAAAAACTGCACCTAATGGAGCTTCTTTCTTGATGTGATCATTCAAGTTTTCTATTAATGTTAGAATCATTTCATTTTCAGCATGGAGAATTTTTTTCCCTATGTGTGAATTTTTAGCAAAAAGTTAAAATATTAGAATATAATATAACTGTAATTGAGTAAAAAAAATCCTTGCTCTTAACACTGGACTTCATAGGAAAAGAATATAAAAATTACCCAGATTTTTTTTTGTTTCCCTCTAGGTCTTCGGGTAACTGTGCTTCTGACATCCTTCCTTATGGTTTTGGGAACTGGTCTAAGATGCATACCTGTATCAGACTTAATGCTTAAAAGAAGGTAAATCCTATAAATAACTTACGTTTTTCCCCACGTTTTTCTTCTTTTGTTATGAGTATATATGTTTGGTTATAAGCTTTTAGTAAATGGTTCTATTTTTTTAAATAATATTTTTAAAGATTTTATTTATTTGAGAAAAAGAGAGAGAGCACACAAACAGGAGAGGGGGGAGCAGGCTCCCGGCTGAGCAGGGAGCCTGACACGGTGCTGGATCCTGGGACCCTGGGACCATGACCTGAGCCAAAGGCAGACGCTCAGCTGACTGAGCCACCCAGGTGCCCCTAAACGGTTCCATTTTTAAGAGGATCAGTAGAGGGTCATAGTTATATTAGCATTTATTTTTTCCCTACATGATTAAATCAGTGGACATTTCTTAACTGTCATATGGAAGATGACTGCACTAGTTTCTGTGTAAATAAAAAAAGAGCAAGTTAATCTTCATGCTATATAGGAGCTGTAATAACCACAGGAAAATAATGGTATAACATAAGGAAGAATGATGTAGCTAATGCAGCAGAAGAGGTACAAAATTGTCCTGAGAGACTGAGAGAAGTTTTGGTGGAGGGTATCAGAAAGAGTTTATGAAGGAGGTGATAATTAAAGTAGGCACTGAAGGAAGAATAGACCTGGGATTTGATAACAATAGGGAAAAAATATTGCAGAGTAGAGGAATAACAGGAACAAAGACATGGAGGCGGGTAAGCATAGGCCTCTTTGGGATAGTTAGCTAGCTGCATTTGTGTACAGTTGCATGTCCACTCCTGGGTCTGTGGATTTATTCTCAGAGGCTACAAGGTATACAAAGATTTTAAAGTTTTGTTTTCCTTTCAGTTAGAATATTAAAAATCATTTTACCACTAATAATCTGTAATTAAAAGATACTTTTATTGACCAGAATGTCATTTTCTTACATTAGTGTTTCTCAAACTGGGTCCTTGGATGTGATCTTGAAGGTCATTGAAAAGTTTTTCCTCTTTTAAAAAGACCCATAAATTATTCAGGTTTGGGAGACACTCATCTATAGGTTAAGGTATAAAAATGGGATGTAAATAGATGAGTTTAGAAAAGGTTATCCAGATTATGAGGGATCTTGATGCCATTAAGATGTAGAATTGTGATTCTGCGTGTATCTTGATGTAGAATTGTGTTTTCCTCACAGGGTAGTTGTGAGCCACTTAATTTTTAAGTGGCTCACAGCAGCAATAGGCTCTAACCTGTGTTGGGTAAATTACTGGTTTGAGGTATGTGGGATTGATTACAGAAAGTGGAGGTAGCTGGGAGGAGACTAGGAAAGAAGTGAGAGCCCAGACTGGAATCATTTTCTGTTTATTCATTTATCAGTTCACTTGCTCAACAAAATTCACTGAGCTCCTACTGTGTGCCAAGCTCTCTTCTGGACATGGGGAACACAGCAGAGAATACCGAAGACAGATCCTTGCCTCTTGGAGTTTACATTCTGGTTGGGGAGACTGGCACTAAACTAGATAAATAAATAAAATATGTACTGTGTTATGGAGGAAAAAATAAAATAAGAAAGAAAGATCTGAAATGTCAGGGGAAGGATGGTGAAATTTCAGAAAGAATGGCCAAAAATGAACAACCAACCAAAACAAAAAAACACCTTACTGGGAAGATAACTTTCGGGGGTAAGAACCCAGAGGAGTGGACCATGCATTATCTGGGGGCCAAGCATTCCAGGCAGAACAGCAAATGTAAAGTGCTGGAAGGAAAGAGCTCTCCTGGTAGGCAGGCTGGTGCGCCTGGAGCCAAGTGAGACATGAGAGGCTTCGTGGGAAGGGTGATAGGAAATGAGATCAGCACAGTTATGGGTGGTGGTGGGAGTGTGAGACAAGATCCTTGAAGACCTTAGCTATTTCTGAGCTAGGAAACCACTGGTGATTTTGAGCTGAGGAGAACCCTGGTCACAAGCTGCTTTGTGGAGAATAGATTGAAGCTGGAGGTCAAGGGCAGGAGTAAGAAGACCAGTTGGGGAGCCAGTGCAATAAATCAAGTGAGAGATGACGAGTTTCTGGAAAGCTAGTCTTCATCTCCTATCCTTTTGAGTGAGGTTTTAACAGGTAAGTTTCATTATTGTGTTTGAGATGTTCTTAATTTTTCAAACATATGGCAACCAGTTTTAAAATACAAATTTCAGTAAGCTTAACTTTAATAATGCATTCCTTTAAAAAGCCCATTAATGTTTTTATTAGCTCTTCTTCTGTTTTGAGCCATCCATACCGTTCTCTCTAGTCTTATTTCCCTTTATATCCTTTCCAGATATAAAACTCCAACAGTACTAAAGAATTGAGTCACCATCTTAGTGAAGAAGGTGATATGGAAAAGAAATAGAGCTCATAAAGAAATGTAAACAAAGATAGAGTAGATGAAAGAGAATTGCTAAAATAAAGAGTTCAGAGAGATTGAATCTTTGATAAAAAGAGGGTATAAATTTAATTTTCAATCTTTGCGTGTTTGTCTGCACGGAATGTAGGAATGTAGGAATATTATCCCTTTAAAATGAGGCTTCGGGGGCACCTGGGTGGCTCAGAGGGTTAAAAGCCTCTGCCTTCGGCTCAGGTCATGATCCCAGGGTCCTGGGATCAAGCTCCGCATCAGTCTCTCTGCTCCATGGGGAGCCTGCTTCCTCCTCTCTCTCTGTCTGCCTCTCTGCCTACTACTTGTGATCTCTGTCTGTCAAATAAATAAATAAAATCTTTAAAAATAAATAAATAAATAAATAAAATAAAAAAATTAAATGAGGCTTCGTTTTATGTCCATGCAGTATTTCTTTTAAGCAGTAGTATTAACAATGCATATGCAGCTGTTAAAATGAAAATGCTACAATTAAAATCTGTGTTTTTGACTAGTAGGTTCAATAGATCACCACTTTTAGGTTTCCATCTCCATCTGATAATCAGCGGGAAGGGCTAAAGACCTGTAACATCCATTTGGCCAGCATTGAAAAGTATTTGGCAATCTGCGTTTTTGTGCCCCTGTTTTGCTTGGCACTTTTTGAGCCTCAGACCCAGCCTTCTGGAATAGTGTCCCTGCACCCTTGGCTTCCTGTATTTTAGCTTCAGTGGGTCTCCAGACATGAGAAAAGCAGCTTCTGACGGGCTCTTTCCTCAACCAAGACTCTTTTCACCACCTCTTAATGGTGTTCTATCACTGCATGGTATCAGTATTTCTTTTACCTGCATAGTACCAGTAAAAATTCAGGAAATTTTCTTTTCTTTTTCTTTTCTTTTCTTTTCAGATTTTTATTTATTTGACACAGAGAGAGAGCCCACAAATAGTGGGGGCAGCAGGCAGAGGGAGAGGGAAAAGCAGGGAGGCCGATGCAGGACTTGATCCCAGGACCCTGGGATCATGACCTGAGCCAAAGTCAGCCGCTTAACCAACTGAGCCACCCAGGCACCCCAGGAAAATTATTTTCTACTTCTAGTAACATCATGGATGAATCAGGAACTCAGACTAATGGACTATAAGGCATTTCTTCTATGATCAAGAAACAAATCATACCAAAAGTATTTCAGATGGCATTGCTGTATAGCACTGCATGACATGGCTCTGTAGCATGAAGTATGATATTGCATGTCCAGTAAACCATTTAAAGATATCTGGAAGGTGAACTTGCAGTAAGTTTTATCTGCTTTTAATTGTAGATGTATCCAGTGATCCCTGTAACACATGCCATGTTATCTTCTAATTAGATGTAATTTTCATTAATATAAATAATAGGTAACATTTACTAATGTGTTATATAGTTAAATAGGATGGTTCTAGTAAACATAGATTTTTTTTTTATTAAGAGATATATTCCACTGTGAAAAGCTTGCAGCTGACAAAATTACATTTAAAATGACCAACCATACCGGGGGGGGGGCTGGCTAGTGCAGTCAATGGAGCATGCAACTCTTCATCTCATGGTTGTGGGTTCGAGCCCCATGTTGGGTGTAGAACTCCTGAAATAAAATCTTTTTAAATTAATTAATTAATTTTAAAAATGACCAGAAAAATTTGTTTAATCAATGGTTTTATGATAATTGCTTAGCTATCTGGGAACAAAAAAATGAAGAAAAACCTTAAATCTTTTCTTACCACTTAAGTAAATTCCAGATGGATCAAAAATTTAAATGTGAAAAATGAACAATTAAAGTATTAGGTAATGAGGCTACTTTTTAATAATCTTAGAATGAGGAAGACCTTCCTACTAAAAGACAAGTCCCAGAAGCTATTAAAGAAAGGTTTCATACATTTAACTAAATAAAAATTTAGAATATCTGCATGATTAAATATACTATAAAACAAAGTCAAAAGACAAGTTAAAAGCTGGGAAATATTTGCAGCAATAAAACAAATGGGTAATTTCCTTAGTTGAAAAGAATTTCTTCAAATCAATTAAAAAAAGCAACTTAGTAGGAAAATGAGTGACAGATATGAGTAAGTAATTACAGAAATTAAAATACATATGTCATAAACTTAGGGAAAGATGCTCAACTCTCCATCATAATTAAAGAAATGAAAATGAAAATAGCATGTAGATGTCTTTTTTTTTTTTTTTTAAAGATTTTATTTATTTATTTGAGAGAGAATGAGTGAGAGAGAGCATGAGAGAGGAGAAGGTCAGAGGGAGAAGCAGACTCCCCAAAGAGCTGGGATCCTGATGCGGGACTCGATCCTGGAAGTCTGGGATCATGACCTGAGCCGAAGGCAGTTGCCCAACCAACTGAGCCACCCAGGCGCCCGCATGTAGATGTCTTTATTGGCAAAGATAAGAAAGTGTGATAACATATGTTGCTTGGGGTAGGAAAAAAGAGGTCCGTTGATGTGTGAGTAGTTTGGGACATTCCTATTTGGAGGACATTTTGGCAGTATTTATTAGATTCAAAATGCAGTGTCCTTTAACCCAGTATTTGCACTTTGAGAAAATTAGCCCATATATGAAGTTCTACCAGTTTGCAGGGATAACCATGTTTGTGCAGCCTTGCTTGTAATAG